CTGGCTTCTCTGCTGAGATGTCTTTGCCAGGACTGTCCTCAAACCTATCCTCCTAATCCTCCCAATTTCCACCTCCTGAGTAGCTGGCATTATAGGAGTGCACCATCAGCCCAGCTTACATTAGAATTCTATGAATATACCCAGCGATTGTCTCTGACTGAAATAACATTCTCTGCCTTGTCACACTTCAAAAGCCTGACTTCCACTGGAGTTATTCATTTATTGATTCATCCATTTATGTTACGCTAAAGGTACAAAGGACTCTGATGAAACAAAAAGCAAACTAAAAAGAAGACAAAAAATAGGCAGCCAATTAATAATACTAACAATAATAGCTGGGTTACAGACATAGTACAGTGATAAAGCACTTGCAAGGCCCTGAGTTCAAACCCCACTACTAAAAAGAAAAGCAAAATAGTTAAATAACATTGCTGGAGTATTTATCAATTGACATTTACTGTTTGAAGGGCTTTATACAATTAACAGTTACAAATTATGACAACTTTTTGTTGTTTTGTTGCTTGAACTCAGGGCCTACACCTTGAGCCACTCCCTTTTTTTTTTTTTTTTTTGATGGGTTTTTTTGAGATCTCATGAACTCTTTGCCCGAGATTACTTCAAACCAAGATCCTCCTGACCTCTGCCTCCTGAGTAGCTAGGAGCCACTGGTGCCTGGCTCATGATGACAACTCTTTGGGTAATGTAATTATAACATCCATTTCAGAAATGAGGACTATGTTGTCTAAGGTTATACAGCTGGGAAATACACAGCAGGGCATGCTGGGATATGATATGAAGAGATCTAACTTGAATCCAAAGTGATCAGTAAGCACTGCTTCTACAATTTGTATATACTTGTACTGTTATATTAGCATCTAATTTTGTAAACTTTACCCTTATTATTTTCACTTCTCATGGGCAAAGAATATATATAATTCTATACATTTGTGTGTCCCCAATACCTAGCATAATGCCTGCCAAAATAGAAGCACTCAATAAATATTTAATAAATTAATAAATTTTAAATATTAAATATTAAATTTATTATTAAATATTTAATAAATTTAATAAATTAAACTAAGCACTGAAAATCACTTCTAAAATGAATATTGGGCTGTCAGCAAAACTATGAAATAAATGAAACAGGCCTTTCCTCCTCAATACAGTGAAACTTTATATCAAGCAGAAATGCCCTCTTGACTTCTTTACCTTGACCTCTAAGTAAATCTAGCTTAAAGAAAGATATCTTATTAAACTCATTAACAACAAGGACAATCCTGGGGATGTTAGCATTTTAACAGGTAGCAAAGCTTTAAGTCAGTGAAATTAACATCTACTAGTAAAATATCAGAAATTCATGAGTATAAGATTTTTGGAGAAGAAATCTTTTTGGAAAATACTTTCCAAATAATTCCATGTAAGTACAGTGTTATTACTGGATCAGTATCCAACATGAGTTAATTTTAGCACATCAGCACCTACTTTCTTAGAGGAGTAAGAGTAGATACACTGCCAATGTTTCCAATGTTATAAGTCCTTATATTTTCATAACAAACTTTTCAGATATATTCCAACTAATTTTAATAGTGTTGTCAACAGACAAACAATGCAAATAAAAGGCAAGTGTACTCAGCTTCATACTTGCTAACTAAGTACTCTACAATTTGAGCCACACCCTCATCCCTTTTTTGCTTAAGTTTGTTTCTCAGGTAAGGTTTTGCACTTTTGCCCAGACAGGCCTTGGACCATGACGCTCCCTCTCTCCATCTCCCCAGTAGCTGGAACCCCAGCCGTGTATATAACAGACTTGTTTAACTTTTTCGCCTGGGATGAGCTCAAACTGTGATCATCCTGCCTCTGTCTCCTAATGCCATAAACATTTTACAAGTGTAAGTTTTAAGGTCAAACTGGTTAGGTTCAATTCCTGGTGCATCATATACTAACCTTCCTGTGTTCATCTAGAAAATGGGAGTAAGAATGAGTCCCATACCTCAGGTAGACTTATACTGATGATTACCTAAATAAATCCATATAATGTGCTTAGAACAGTGTATGCCATGTAGTAAACTCTCCATAGGTAATAGTTGCTACTGTTTATTGTAACAACCCTGCAGGTTGTTGCTGATATACTAAGAAAAGATTACACCAAAGCCTTATTATAGAACTTAGTATAATTAACACTTACAGGACACTACATTTACTACAGAATATACATTCCTTACAAGTACACTTGAAAAATTTATAGACTTAGACCATATGCTGGGTCATAAAATAAGTCCAGACAATTTAAAAGAATTCAAATAGTATATTCTCTGACAAAAATGAAACAAAACCACAGTAACACGAAAATTATTCCATAATCTACATATTAGTAAATCAAATAATCAGCTCTAAAAAAAACCTCAGGAGAAATAAAAAAAAAGAAATTACAAGGGCACTCAGGAAGTATTTTAAATACAATGAAAATAAACACATAAAATATCAAGATTTATGGGATGCAGCTATAAAGCAATGATAAATCTAGGGAGGCATTTTTCTACAAACTGATAAACTAATCTTAAAATTTAAATGGAAATGCAAAGAACCTGCAAGAGACAAAACTGTAAAAAAGGTTGGAAAATATACATAAAACATCAGATTTTAAAATATACTATATAATGACCAAGATTATGTGCTACTGGACATAAACATAGACCTAAAGATCAACAGAAAGAATATGGAGCCCAGGAAACAAGACCTACACATCTATAGTCAAGTAATTTTGTACAAGAAATAGGAGAGTCCTTTTAATAAGCAATGGTGAAACAACTGTATATCCATATAGAAGAAGGGCTAAAAGAAGACCTCAACCCTTATCTCATGCCAGACACAAAAATTATCTCGAAATGAACCATAGATCTAAAACTATAAAAATCTGTAAGAGAAAACAACTTCATAACCTTGGGATAGGCATGAATTTCATAGATATGATATATAAAGCACAAACAACAAAATAAAATATTAATAAGTACAACCTCATTGAAATTTAAAACTCTAGCTCCTCGAAAAGACAATACAAAAGACAAAGGCAAGCCACTGTCAGGGAGAAAATATGTGGGATATAGTGTGTGTGTGTGTGTGTGTGTGTGTGTGTGTGTGTGTGTGTGTGTGTGTGTGTGTGTGTGTAGTATTATGATTTGAATATGAAATGTCCCCCACAGGGTCCCCAGTTTGCGGTACTATTTTGGGAGATGGTGGAAACTTTAGGAAGTGGAGCCTATGGAGAGTAGGTCACTGTGGACATGCTATTTGAATGGTATCATGTCACAGGTTCCTTCCTGTCTCCTCTCTGCATCCTGGCCACCATGAGGCCAGCAGCCTTGTCATACACTCCTGCCATCAAGTATTCTGTCTCACCTCAGACCCAAAGCAATGGATACAGCCAACCTTGCACTGAAATCTCTGAAACTATGAGCCAAAATAAATCATTCCTCCTTTTATGTGGTTGATGCAATGTATTTTATCACAGTGACAAAAGTCTGACTAACAGAAAATCAGTACCAGAGAAGTAGGGTTGTTGTTGATGATATGGTTCAGAAGTCTTTGGAACTGGTTTGTAGGAGGAATTTGAAAGAGTTTAGAGAGGTGGGCTAGAGACACTCTGGAATGCTATAAGCAAAGCTTAATGGGCAATTCTAGTAGAAGCTAAGAAGAGAATGCTGATAGGAATATGGACAGTAAAGATTGTCCTCAGAAGTTTTCAGATGACAAATGAGGACTCTATTGAGAATTTACCATGTATACAAATTAAATGGAATATCATCAAATGTACAATTAAAATAAATGTATTTCATTGTATACAAACTATACCTTAAGTGATAGAGCACCTGCCTAGTTATATGGGCATTTGCTGCTGTTTCCTTTATACAACTTCAAATAATCTTTTGGCCCAAAATGACAGCTATCAAAAAAAAAGAAGAAGAAAAGAAGGCAGGATAGGAGTATGGATTGGAGAGAGAGAAATAAAGTCTCTTAGCAAAATATTAAGAGATGCTCAGGAGCATCATTGCTCATATAATATTCATTACAATATGTTATAAAACCAGTCCATACATAATAAAAGCTGACTCAAATCAGCAGCTACAATTTTATGAAATATGAAAATTGCAGTAATTTCCAAGTATCTAGGATATGAGGCCTAACTGAGCTATGGCAAGTTTTTTTAAATATGAAAATGATAAGTAACTTCTATATTTGCTCACTGTGCTAGTGCTTGTCTTTGCCATATTGTATTTCCTATATTATAGTTATGAAGCAGCAAGTATTTTAAAACTTGTGAGAGTGGGAGTACTAACAAAACAGCATATAAAGGATTTTCATAATTCAAATAGAACATTTTACTCTTATTCTACAAAACTAACAGTATTAGAATTCAAATTATTTTTCACTGTTACCTCCTTCCTTTACTACAAAACAAACATTACATTATTTTATCTACTAATGCTGCCTAATTTAAGGATGCCAAAGGAACCATAAATTTGTTCACTTAATATGAAAATAATTTTATATTATTACTGATGAGCCAGACAAGTTGTTCATGTAATGTAGATTACCTAATATTGCAAGCAGAAATAACTATGATAATTAGGTATTTCTGGGAAATTTTTTTCACTCTGTGTAAGCAATGGATATTCCTTTGTCCTTTCTTTTTGATTTCAGGTAATTGCAGAGAAAAACCAGGAAAAGTTGTTTATATACAGAATCAATATTTCTATTAAGCATGTTCATACTTTACAGGTACACATTACTGGTTTCTTCACACACATAATTATTATACTAGCTGGATTTCTGAAACTTGTATATTACCTAGATGGGGATTTTTCAGTCTATCGGTTAGCTTCGAATAGCACTTAATTTTTCTGAGAATTTTATTCCTTTTTATAGAAACTTAAGGAATTATCTGAACATGAAAAATAAAAGACAAATATGTTACTAGATGAAGAGAACAAAAAAGATCGTACCTGTTTCAACCTCATGAAGAAAGTCTCTGTGAAAGTCTTTCTGCTGAAATACCAAAATCTCTCATTTGCAGGGTACACACGAACAACTGTCTCCAGGAGAAAGCGGACAGGCTCCACCACCTCCGTGACCACCATATCCACTGCCACAGTCATGTACACTAGTTTATCTATAGTAGAAAGTTTCTAAATTTTATGCCAGGTTTATTATTGCTTGATTATTTAAGAAAACAAGGTTTTTGCAATCATATTACCTTCTATATTTTTATTTTTTAAGTACTTATCAAGTAGATAACCAAGTATTTCAAATATGTTTTTTAGGCACTAGTGATTCTATCTTAATCAAGTGATATCTTAACTGTCTTTTTCCATAATCCAAATCACATCCTTAATATAAAAATTTAAGAAATCTGGTAGTAAGATACTCCAAAAATTGTATTATATTTTTGTGGTGTTGGAGGTCAAACTAGGAGCCCAACCTATGTTAGGCAGGTGCTTGGACACTGACTGATTTCACACTCCAACCCAATTTTACCTATTTTTATATTAATGTATAATATATTAATATACATATATTTAATCAAGGCCTGAGTAATACTTTTAGAGAATAGCAGTACAGTGTTATCTCTCAAAATTCTAATTAGTACTTAACATGTTTACTTGACCACACAACTTCATTTCATCTAGAATTTTCTAGGCCAACATCTACAGTTTTCTTCAGTTTCCACTATGATGGGATGAAATATGGTTTTTATTTACCCACTTGATATTCTGAGGTTTCTGAATCTATGGCCTGGTCATTCTATACCATTTTTTAATCTCTTCATTGCTTGTAAAGTATTTTCAAAATTTACTTTGTCATTTTTTAATTCTCAATTAAGGGAAAATCCAAATAACTATGCCCACCATTATACAATATTCATATTCATCAACTATACTTCCATTGGTATCAAATTCAACAAAATATTGTTATATTATTACTGAGTATGAATACTACACTTGCCAATTCAAGAGAATCTAAGATTCTCTAGATATCGTATCTTACCTAGAGGACCATTAAGTCCAAAGGGAGTAAAACAGGGGTAAAGGAGACACAGAATATTACACTCAACTGTATCTTAGTGCGGTAGAAAGATTAAGATACTTCATCTCTAGCGGCTAAACTTTTGCCACAAAAATCAAGCTTTATTTGACTCATAAGTTCTCTAAGTAAGTAATGTATAATTACATTATATATACACCATTATAAGTACACACCATTTGGAAATTGTAAAAACCAAGGCAACATGTTTATGTACTATATAAAATAATTTTAAACCTAAAAACACATATTTTGAACCTAAAAAATATTACAACATAGTATAAAAAGTTTATTTTAATAGTTATTAAAAAGTTTATTTTAAATAAGTTTAAAAGTTTATTTTAAATAAGTTATAAACAAATTATCTTTTATTTAAGGATGAAATGTGTATTAAAATACAAAATAAAGCTGAACTATGCATCATATTAAAATCAAATAAAAGCTTCTAACTTGATATTTGAAATTCCTATGTTTTATTCTTCAAATTTTTCAACTGTCTTATTTTTCTCATTTTTGTGTTTTCTTTCCATTGATTATAAGGAAGTATGTTACAAACCTGTCTTCAGAATTAACCTGTGTATCATTTGTTGCTAAAATTTTCTATAATCTTTATTCTTCTCCTAAAAATCCTTAGTTTTGGAAAGATTTATATGTGACTGAATACATGTAATTTATATAACTGGTGAATACTCTCTTCAAGGAAAATAGAGAATTATCATTTTACTGTTCTTCATTAGCATGGTATATTTCAATATTAGTAGCCACTAATGCTTTCTGTGTTAAGCCAAAAGTCTATTGAGGGTATAAACTAAATAGTATAAAACTAAAGGTAAAACAAATTGATCCATTATATTTCAAATATAAATATACGGTGGAATGCAATAAAGCATTTAGGGTAGGACTATAACTCATCAAATAAAAAATTTAGTTTAAAGGCAGATGATGGAGGAGCAAAATTTAAACAGGCAATTCACAGATAAAGTAGGACTAAAAAAAATAGAAAAATGAAAGCCATGACTTTTTAACATTTATAAATTCTGCACAATACTACTCACATTAAGTGAAAAGTAAGCAACAAGGGGAAAAATACTTGCTACGAATGAAATCCTTAATAGATATCGCTAGGATCCCAAAGTTCAAAAGAATAGAAGCAAGCTGGGTGCTAATAGCTTACGCCTATAATCCTAGCTACTGAGGAGCAGAGATCAGGAGGACCTGAGTTCAAGGACAGCCTGGGCAAATAGTTCTTGAGAACCTATCTTGAAAATAACCAACACAAAACAGGGTTGGCAAATGGCTCAAGTAGGTAGAGTGTCTGCTTAGCAAGTGTGAGGCCCTGAGTTCAAACTTCAGTGCTACCCCCCAAAACAAAAACAGAAATATTAATAATGAAAAAAATGTAAGTAATCTATAACATTAAAAAGAAGTTAAAGTGATAATTAGATACGTAAAATTCCATTTGTTTTCATCTTTTGAATTCCTTTACCACTCCTACCCAAATAAAACTATATAGAGACACATGAAATAGAAAGCTCAAACACCTTCTATATAATCTAATAAAATTAATTTAGTTTGGGAAAATTAATTTTCCCAAAATTCTTTTAAATGGCAGGGGTTTTCCTCATAGAAGCATAAAGTATGAAAAAGAACTTCAAATTCTGAATAAGAATATCTTCATTTTAAATAAGCATCAGAATTTTTTTAAAAACATAAAACTGTTTATAATGTAAAATTTAAAGCAAGTAATAACAGATCTTTTAAGAAAAGTCACCTTTTGGGGTTTCTTCATTAAGGGCCAGAAATATTGGTGCATTAGGATTCCACATGCCAGTAATAACGTAAGCTCTTCCATCATAGCTCTTTCCCATGGACTCCTGCATAAGTTTAAACGGGAATCGCTGATAATATGTACATCAAGAAAATCAGCATTTAAACTTATACCTATAAGAAACTCAATTTATTAAGGTTTGTATTTACAGTCAAACAGAGGCTTTATTTTTGTTAAAAAATGTTTCATCCTAAAAAATTATCCTTAAAATACTAAATTCTCCTACAGCTTTATTCAAACACAGTTTCTATATATGTAAACAGGTATCTTCTTGGATAAAAAGAAGCATACCCATATATGCTAACTTACAATCACAACATAATACTGTTATGAAGTTATATTAAACTTGATCTTATGCTGGTTGTCAAAAATCCCTACACATATAACAATGTACATAAGTCTGTATTAACACAGAATTAGCTGAAGATAGTTAGACTGAATTTATAGCTAAACAGGCACACATCACCACACCCAGATTTTATTGATTGAGATGGGGGTCTAGTGAACTTTTTGCATAGGCTGGCTTAAACCAATTCTCTTGATCTCGACCACCTCAGTAGCTAGGATTACAAGCATGGTCACCACATCAAGCCAAAGTAAACTCTTATCTTTGATCCTGCATTCCAAAGATAAAGTAACTCAAGACCATTTACAAAGGAAATCCACTCAGCACTTACATATTTTTTTTCAACCCGTATATATTCATAATCCTGCTCTTTCCCTCTCTCATACATAGCCCCCTACACACACACACACACACTCTCTCTCTCTCTCTCTCTCTCTCTCTCTCTCTCTCTCTCTCTCTCTCTCTCTCTCTCTCTCTCACACTCATTCTCCCTTACTTCCCCACTATCTCTCCTAATTCAGTACATAAATGAGCTTCTGACCCAAAAAACCTCAATTCATTTCTGGACCAGACCTTTTGCTTGACTTGAATTCAAAAGATGAGCTAGACCAACCATAATCTCTTTCAATTAACAAATACCAAGGAAAGTGGTCAGTTAGCACTGGAAGTTAAAAGGTTTTAACTTCCAGTTAGTAAGAAGTCAAGCTGTGACAGGACACGTAGAACAGAATTATAAATTATGAAGTAGAAAAAATATATAAAGAATTTGCCGGGTATCAGTGGCTCACACCTGTATTCCTAGCCACTCAGGAGGCAGAGATCAGAAGGATCATGGTTCGAAGCCAACCCCAGGCAAACAGTTCCGCAAGACCCTATCTCAAAAATCCTTCACAAAAAAAGGGCTGGGGGAGTGGCTCAAGGTGTAGGCCCTGAGTTCAAGCCCCAGTACCCCCCACAAAAAAAGGAAAAAGAAAAGAAAAAATAAGAATAGCATATAGCAGCAGGGTGGTTGTGTAAGCATGTAATCCCAAATACTCAGGAGATGGCAGTAGGAGGATCACAAGTTCAAGGCCAGCCCCAGCAAAGTTAGTGAGACTGAAGCTCAAGAATTAAATGCAAACAAAATGTCTGGGGGTATGGCTCAAGCTTTAGAGCACCTAGCAATTTCAAGGCCCTGAGTTCAATTTCCAGTGCTTAAAAACAAACAAACAGTATTTAGGAGTATTAGGAAAGAGAGAAATGAAGAAAACAAACATCAAAAAACACTTTAAAGCTGGTGTAGTAGTGCACACCTATAATTCCAGCACTCTGGAGGTTGAGAAAGGAGGATCTCAAGTTTAAAAATTATAAATGAAGCAGCCAAAAACCAAAGGCAAACACTGAGAGACAGTGACAATAAATGGTTAATTATAAAGATCCACAATCTTTCTGAAGCATCTCTAGGACTTACTGTGTTCCAGTACCAATAAACCTGCTTCTACTGAGTTTTCTGCTCTTTTTGGCACACAGTTGTCAATAACTGTGGGTCAAAAATTCTTTTTCCACTAGGTGAAGGGGCCCATGCCTATGATCCTAGCACATGGAAAACTGAGGTAGGAGATTGTGTGTTCAAGGCCAGACTGAGATATATAGTGAGTTCAAGGTGAGCCTGGGCTACACAACAAGACCCTCTCTTTTAAAAGAAAAGTATGTTTTTTCCTTATTCCTACACTACAAGTTCCTTGACCAAAAATTTTCTCATTATTTTTACTTATTCATATGTGTGTATGTAAGTATAAATAAAACTGGCTATTTGAAAGATTTATCTTCATTTGTATGTATGACTTTCTCTTTTATGAAGATCTTAAACACAGATTTATTAAACTAGAAAAAGTTTCCATTCACCCTGCTTATTAGAAAACATCCACAGGTTGGAAAAGTCAATATTGCTTAAAAATTGTTCAAAACAGGGCTGGGGATGAAGCTCAGTGGTACAACACTTGCCCAGCATACACAAAGCCCTAGGTCCAATCCCTAGCACTGCCAAAAGCAAATTGCTCAAAATAAATAGAAAGATCTCACAAATTATTCAGTTAAATAAAATGAAATTGTATGTGTTTTCAAAGTCCATCAGAATAAACAAAGTGGCAGAAGACTTGTTTTCAGTTTCCCAAGACATGTGGGTGGATTATGAGAGCAAAAGTATTACACCTTGCTCTAGAGGGCAGAACTAAGACTAATTAGGAAAAGTTACAAGGAAAATGATTTTAGCTGATTATAAGGACTAACTTTGCAATAACCACAACTATCCCTTAGGCTTCACCACAGGTAATGAGTTCCTTTTTATTAGATGTAATTTTAGGTAGGGGTCAATGATCACATATTAAGATAACATGAATATTAGTAATACTGTGTAAAAACACATCACAACTGTTGACAATTGCAAATACAAACCCTCCCCCCTTTGCCCAACTATTTGTTGAGAGGGTCAGCCCGCTTCTCTTTTCTAGAGCATGAATGCTGACAAAGCCTTTGATTTTGATGACTCAAAAGTAGAGGACTTCTGTACTAGTTACACAGACATGACAAAAAGGCCTCAGAAGTTCACATCAGCTCTATAATTCTATAATCTGAATTTAAGTTTTGGATAAATCTGCCAGTGGTTCATCTTAATCTTTTCAATTCTTAAGGACCACCATAGTTAGAACCTGGTATCTTAAATGTTTATACTGCCTCAGTGTTCCTAGTACCTTCTTCTTGTGGAATTTTCAGGGCTCCAAAATGCCATGGCTTACCTTAGGTAAAACCATATTCATTACTGATAAGTTATAGAGAGGTGTGGAAGAGAGATGGATCAATAACTAATTTGTGTTTTCATATTCAATATAACCAGTTGTCCTTACTTGTCCTGTCAAGGCAGTGCTCTATCTATATTTACACAGCTCATTGTACCACTGAAGAGCGTACTTAACCAACTGCTGTGCTTACATACTTAAAAGATCTATTTTCTATTACAAGACTGAATCCACAAATAGTAGAATTAAGTTTTATTCCTATCTATACTCTCCAACACTTCACCCAAAGCTTGGTACACAGATGCATTTGTAGCATACAAATGCTAAATAAAGCATTCTAGTACTGCTTAAAAAAAAAAGTGCTAATACTATCATGAAATAATTCAAAGAATAACTTGGCATAGGAATATTTAACTGACACTTACAAAACAGTGTTGAAAGTAATAAAACATGTAGTACCTGTTAGTACTAAATAAAAAAATCTCAGTTCACCAAAAAAAGAATTTCATACTTTAAGATAACTATTTCCTACATTTCTAAATTACATAAAAATGTCATTAACTGCAAAATTAGAAGATATTTCTGTTTAACAGTTAAGATGGCTTGCTACTTCTATACCCAATACCCTTGATCATGTGTTAATCTATAATTGCATTTCTTAAATACAGCAAATATACTTTACCAAGGAGAAGTAATCAAGGAGAAATTCAGAAAAGGAAATCATTTGAAGAAAGCAAGCACCATCATGGTACTCAAATTAACAGTGTATTAAAATCAATGAAAGAAATCATATTCCACTTTGGAGATACTTGTTAATCACGTACTTGGAGCTTTGGACTCAAAGAAAAGACAACTTCCTAAGAAGCCAAACATGATGAATAGATGAACAGTGTCATTATTTGATTTCAACTTGCATATGATTGTTTGGGCGGAAATTTTCCTAAACCCTTGTAACTAATTTTAAGTTTGGGTTTGCAAATTTAATTGCTATTATCGCTGAGTAAAAGAAACAATTCAGGTATGACAAAATTTTTAAATAGAAAATATTTTAAAAATGTAAAATAACTATTATCTGTATTTAGTTAAGATACTTAAGATTATCATTACCATATCCAGTAAATGCATGTCACTGTTCTTCACGTTTCGACCTGGGCTTAATAACATTCCAAAACATCTGAAAATATTGGGGGGGGAAAAAAAGAAGAAATAAGGTATCAAGAATACACAGAAGCCCAGTGAGAAAAAAACTTTTTTAATATAATAATTATACAATCTGAGCTTTGTACTTACAAATAGCTTTGGTTTTTGGTCTAAGTACATCAGAAATAAAAATTCATCAAGGTATATACTAAAATCACATATAAATCATAAGTTATCAAAATTCCCAGATCCTTATTTTTTATATAAAAATTACCAAGATCAAAAAGTGTCCTAGAAATGTTCATAAATTGTTGACTGAAAGAAAAATATGATAGTGAGAGGTGAATTAGTTTCTAGGAAGAAGAGATTTTGCCTTGTATTATTATAAGTCAAGATCAATTAAATAAAAAAAAGAAGGCTTTTGAAAATGAGAACAAGACACTGTTCTCTCTCTGCATCAAACCAGATTAACAGAAAGCAAAGTATTACCCTGGCCCTCACTGAGTGGCATGCTATATATCCCCAGTTAAAACTACATTCCCAGTTAAAAAAGAAAAAAAGAAGTTAGACAAACCTCATTAATAAATATGCTATTATAGTATTGAAGATATTGCCCACAATACTATTAATATACTTTAACTAACTACTTACTCCGTGCTTCCTGATGCTCAAGAAGCTCCAGGAATCCTACCAAATGCTACCACTATTTTTTTAAATGATTTTCGTAAGTTCTAAAGTTCAGTTACATCTAGGATTTTTATATTTGCTGGTCTATTCTTAGCTCTGCTTTGTAGGTAAACAAAACAAAGTCCAATAGGTAAAAACAATCTACCCAAATTCATATTGCTATTAAATAGGTCTTGTAACTCAATGAGCAAAGTCATCTGTCCAGAGTGTCCCTCTAACAATCATACATACCCACACTTAAAGAATGTTTTTGTCATGGCTTCCTAAAATCAGAAGCTATGCTATGGAGTGTTTTATAGAAGGGATAAAGACTGTAACAAAATTAAATATAAGACTTTTTAAATTTCAAAATAGTGCCACCAAATTAGTCAACATCTGATTTTCGTTTTGTTTTTTTTTTATAAAGGTAAACATTCCTAGTAGCATGATCTTCTCTCACATGAACAAGACAAGTGACTGGCCCTATCAAAATATGAGCTCAGTGTACAGTAAATGTACACTTTCTGTGAGGACTTAAGGATGCCTTATACAAGGCTCCTCTTTGGTACCCAAAAATGATTATGTATATAGTAAATACAAAATTTATAAATTCTGAGGCTAACTTTCTAAATTAATTCTTGAAACAGTGGATAACAGAAATTAACACTATATTAAAATTTAATATTAATATTATGCCCTAATATTAATAATTTAACTCCACCCTGCTATGATCTCCTATAAGCACCTGTAATAAGTAGTCTGTACAAATTAAATAGTAAGCAATCATAGAATTCACAGTACTATTTCTTCTATTGCCTTAAATTCTTACTAAGTAACAATAAGACTTCATTCTTTTTCAGATATAAAATTTGGTCTCCTCAGTTAAAAAACTGATCCCTCAACTCAGGCTAATGAGGATAGATTTTTGTCATACTTTCCTACATAGTTTGCTCCAGCTTGTATCTTATGTAGAAAAAAGAATGCTTTTCTACATTCTTAAGGTTTTTTATAAGTTACTGAACTATTATACATTGAATGTACTATTTAAGTTAACAAATAACAAAGTCACTATATATAAAAAAATGATAATTTCTTCATCTCTCTCAGTCATCTTTGGAAACAATGCTAACAGTGTAAAATACATTCCCCCACCCCCTCTCTGGCTCTCTGGGAATTTTAAAGCTTCATACTATCTTCTCAAGCATTTCCAGATTAATGGCTAAATGGATAAAATTTTATATTTTCTTAGCACACTTAATCCTATCTTAAACTTTGCCACAAAATGAACCTTAACAGTTTCAGTTTTCCTTAAATGGTAGTAATTGTTACCTTAGTTTGATAATCATTGATGTGGTACTCTTTTCTTGGCTAATAAATAAAAAATCTTGCCAACCAACCAACAGTGACCTTAGAAAGTACCTAGCCTTCTGGACTTCTGCTTCCTCTTCTACAAAGCAGGAGGTATAATATATGAACTTTAGTTCTTCCAGCACTAAAATTGCATAATTTTTTCTATCAAGCTGTATTAGTCATTTCCAAAATTATACTTCATTAAAGCACATCAGGATTCCTATGGGGACCATAAATGTCTATTAGGAATATATGTAAGAAATTACATAGATATTATTAGTAACACAAATGTATAATGTAACTATTAAGTGATTCATTCATTGGGGATTTCAAGTAGTCAACCTTCTCTTGTTAATTTCTGTAGTAGGATAGGAAAAGAAACTGCTATAACCACCTGTTTTCTCAGGTCACACTCCAATAGGGAAGGAAAGTAAGCAAATAGGTAGTACAATCAGATATGGTAAGTTCTATGATACTGTAAACACAGCATTCTCAAAATTCTTTCAAAAATCAGAAAGGAAACATACTCAGCATGTATAATACAGTAAATAGATGACCTGACCCAAAATGCGAACTCAAACCTCCTGGAATGAGGTTATTTTCATATGAATAATTGCCATCCCTTATTCATATTGATTAACGATTTGGAATGTTTTTAACTTTAAGCCACAGACGACTATATAAACTGTATTCATATTTTCAAAAACAGTCTCATATAACAAATGATTAAAACTTGATTTTCAGGAAGAAGTAATTCCCAAAGCACATAGCTATTACAATTATGGGGCTGGTATTGCGGACATTAGATCAAGGTAAACACACAAGTGATTGGACTGTTGATCACATGATAAAGCAAGAGCACACAAGGAAGTATGAGGATAGGTAAGACACCTCAAAAACTAGATAGCATTTGTTGCCCTCAAAGCAGAGAAACTAAAGCAGATACTTTAAAGCAACTGAGGCCAACAGGAGAAGGGGACCAAGAACTAGAGAAAAGGATAATCCAAAAAAAATTAATCTAGAAGGTGAAAACACACATGCACAGGAAATCAATGCAAGTCAACTCCCTGTGACAGGCCTTCCTTACTCAACTAGTAAAAACCCTTTGGTTCCTCCTTTTGCTTATACTCTCTCTTCAACAAAATTAGATGATAAGGGCAGAATACTTTCTGCCAGATAGTGAGGGATAAAGGGGGTGGAAGGAGGGGGGAGAGAGAGGAGTAAGGGAGGGGGCAGGGGGAAGGAGGGAGAAATGACCCCAACATTGTATGCAACATATGAATAAAATAAAAATTTTAAAAAAGAAACATACAGGTAAAAAATAAATGAATA